AGAAAAAAAGAAAATTACTAGATAAAAATAAACAGAAATACTCCAAAACTCCTGGGAATGTTAGTAGGAGTAATAAAAAATCGAAAAACAAAAGAAAAAAAGGAACGAATAAGAAAATTGGTTTGTCACTTCATCTCTTTAAGTGTGGCACATTCGCTATTTTATGCACATTAAGGGACAGTTCCGTAAATTGAGACTTCAAATTTAGTTGTGACGGTTGAGTCCGGGGCCCAGAGCCTTTTTATTTTTCGCGACGGAGATACTCCGTGGGCTGCAGACCTTCTTTCGCGCCATCGCCAACGACAGGTCGCTTGTCGTTTTGCTACGACGCATAGGAGGCAGCTTCTTTATGGTATATATGTAATCAACGGCTGACACACGGTGCTGGAGTTTCTCTGAGATAAGAACTGAGATTATTGCCGTTGGATTTGGCGGGAAAGAGGGAGGGAGGGAGGATCTCAGCTGACGTAATGTGTTGTAGGTGATGCTGCATGTATTTATTATTATGATAATGTTGTAATTATAATAATGATAATTATAATAATAACTTTATAATTATGATATAATATTAAATTAATTGATACATATAATATGAATAATGATAAAAAAAATTTTGAGATGAAAATTTAATATTAATAATGTGATTTATATTATATTATTAAATTAATTTATGCATATTATGTTATAAGTCTCAAAAAACTAAAAAAACTAATCATTGAATAATATAAAGTTTCATTGATAAAAGAGTACAATTCACTTTTTAATATTTTAAATTATGTGACTTATACCATATCATTAATACAAATTTTTAATCCCAAATTTTACTCTTGTATATTATTATTCATATAATATCAAAAGCAAGTTTTTAAGTGAAAAGAATTAATTATATACAATATATTATTATAAATTTATAACATTGTGTGTAATTTTAATTATATTATTTTTGTTATTTTTATTGATGAAAAGCAAAAAACAATGGACCATTATCCTAAAATCCACCTGCGGAATAAGTAAATGACTCACCCAGCTGATATTGAATTGGTCTCTACTGGCCCAAAATTTTTAGGACAGTGCAGTGTGGTCTGGTGGACCGAGATTCGGAGTAGTTGGGCCTCTGCTTGAGCCTTGATTTCTTACTCTTTCTTTTCTCCATTTTTTTCATTATTCTCCTTTATTACTTCAAAAAAAAAAAAACAGTTATATTTATATCCCTGTTATGTTACCCATCTGAAACTTCATTTTTTTTAAAAAAAATTTAACACAAATAAAGTAATAATTAAATAGTTAGTATTTCAATCATTTGAGACTAATCTCTTTACATGATTTTAAGTGTACATTTTATTTCAGCTTTTCTTTTCTTTTAATTGTGTTATTTTGACAAAATAAGTAGAAAAAATCAATTCTATTAAATACTTTGTAAAATGATATCATCATGACACCAATCTTTGATCATCCAAACTATAGTTGGTAACAGGAACAAAAACTGTGGATCTCAAGATGGTTTAGATATAAAACATCATTCTTTGAAGATCTTTAATCATAACACAACATGCTCTCAGTGAAATCAAGGACTATCACTTTACTCCCCGGACTAAAAAAAAAACAGTCCGGAGCATATATGGACAATACAAAAATTAATGTGCATGGAAACCTTGTGGATGAGCATGGATGCCAATTCCACTCTGGTGAACCAACATGTTTCCACCAATCCTGTAACGGCACAATTTGCTTTCCATCAGGGAATCCGAAGCCATATAGAGCCATAAACAGTATTGCATGTACTAGTATAAAACAAAAAAAACAATCAATTGGAAAACCATCCTTGCATAAAGACTAGTTTAGACAGGATAATTTGTTTGGTACTACCAAATTAGAGGGATAAAGATCATCACTACCTCCAAAACTCCAGCCATCAATTTTCCCTGGGGATAAATTTTCTTGGTAAAAAAATCCAAAGAGAGACTTCCCCAAGAATCTGGTTGGTCTAAAGTAGTTTTGCCTTGCACAAAAACTAAGGGATGGACATGGGTTGATACTTTTGATATAATTCCCCGGAAAATTTACTTGATTGGATAAAATTAAAGTTAGGGTAGAAAATTTTTGTGAAGAATATGCAGGGGTGAGATCCACCTTGTGAAAATTGCTCAATTATGTGCAACACATTTTGTCTTTATGGGGAAGAATGTAGGACCATGGAATCAAACTAAGCTGGCGTTTTAGATTTGTGAAGTAGTCCATGTGTTCCTAAAGTATGAAATGTGAGTTGATAGCACTTACTTTGCTTGGACTGATTTCACCAAAAAAAAGTCCTATATATGACTATGACAATCATCTCAAATGATTATTTACATATCGCATAATACTGAATTGGAGCATGGAAGAACAAACGCTAAATTATGTAGGGACTGTTCAAATTGAAGATGTAGTGACATCCAAGCATAGCAAGATGTCTTGTCATGTTGTAGGACCCCTTTAAGTGGAGTCATTATTGTTCCCAATAATTGTATTGTGTAATTGTTCATGGAAGGATTTCAGTTGTGTCTGAAATATAAAAGTAAATTCTGGCTTTGATTTTATGGATCAAAAGAGTTTTCATAGGAGAAAGAAACCATTCTTGAATATCAATTGATGCAAGATTTGTTGTTTGATCCACTATTATCAAGTAATATCTTATGACGTCTGGTTAAAAAATAATTATTATTATTATTGTTATTTATGACGAAATGTAACTTTAAAATTAAGTAGTAATGTCTTTAAAAAATTATACCGAAACTCTAATAAGAAACTGACTATTCTCCTCACCAAGCCTTTTTTGGAGAATAAAATTGCGAGACCCACAAATCAAATCATAATAATAATAATAATAATAAAAGGTTTCAACATTTTTGGAGTTTATCAATTTGATTATTTTTTGCATCCATTTATTGTATTTCCATCTTTGCCTTCGAAAGAGACATTATTGACAGTCCTCTTCACGGGTATCTTAAACACTTACGTCAATAATGCTGAATTCGATGGATTGTGGCAAGCATCTAATCCTTCATTGATGCAAGAGCCTCTGCTAAGAATTTTTGTCATTCACACATTTTTCTTCTTCTAAGCCCCCAAATTAAAACATTTCTCTCCAATTTTTCTTTCCACGAACTATAACTAGAATTCCCACCTTCCCCTTTTATTATGGGTGCCTTTAGTAGCAAGAAAAAGACAAGGACTTATAATTATGGGAGGAAGAATGTTAGGTGTTTAACAGAGGAAATGAAGCTGCTGCAAGATGAAATCAAACAGATTATGCGTGAAAGGGAAGAGGAGGCTCAAGAGTACGAGAGACGAGTATTGGTACTCACGTTTAGGGAGGCGGAGTGGAAGGGAGAGAAGAAGAGACTGAAAGAGGAGGAGAAGAGGCTGAGGAAGACGGTGGAAGAGAAGGAAGGGAAGATTAGAGAATTGGAAGAGAATTGTGGGTTGGTGAGAGGGAAGTGCGTTTTATGTGATAAAGGATGGCCGCTGTTGGGGAGCAGTGGAGGGTGTAGCAGCATCTTGGTGGAGCAAATGAGGGAAGAGAGGGCGCAGCGGGATGAGACGGTGGAGAAATGGAAGCAACTCTACCTTGCCATCAAGAACGAGCTTGATGATCTCATTCAGAAAACTCATGGTGTTGTATCTCTATCACTTTTACATCAGTAAAACTTGCACAACATCATACTCAACATTAGCATAACAGATTTTGCCATCCTCTTCTACGTACCCATTTAGATATGTCTGTATAATCATTTTGCTGCATTCATTATTGGACACTTTACTGAAGAGCTAAATGATTTTGTACTTGTTCTTTTAGGGGATGCACTTTATTGGAGAGCCGAGGGAAAAGAGGTGGTGGAGGAACTAAAAAGGGAAGTGAAGAGTAAAGAAGAAACCATAGAAGCTCTGGAAGTTCGATTAGCTTCAATGGAACGCGAAGGATATGAAAGGAAACGGGAAATTGACATTCTTAGGCAAAGTTTGCGAATCATGAGCAGCAAAAAGAAGTCATAACATATTCACAAGACTCTTTCTTAATTATATTACTTGTGAAATACACTTCACATATGCATCAGAGCATGTCCAATGGCAAAGTTTTCTTTAGTGTTCTTATTAATGTCATATCATTATTGTTATACCCTAAAACAAGTCCTATGATAATTAGGACACGTGGAGGCATTCTAGAAATAGTCCTATCAAAAGTAGAATAGGATAAATCCCACTAAAATAAGAATATCCCAAACACCAATCAAATAAAACTGTATTTCTAGAATAACTATATTTAAGCATCCTATAAATACCCCTAGGATCAACCTAATGAGGTGGACTATTTATCATCATCATTCCCTCTTCATTGTAAACTCTCTCTATCAACAAAGATCTTGGTTCTCTACTACCTTTTCTATTTTTTACTGTTAACATTTGGCGCCCACCATGGGGCTCGGCACTTTTCAATCCACAAATACCACATGAAAAATTCAAAAAATTCATCACGACCATGTAGAAGTATTCCGAGCTCCAGAAGCGAGGATAGAATGGGTGACTCTTCGTCATCAAGAACAAACCCAAGAAATACTGTTAATAAAACAAAACCATCAGATTCAACCATGGCATCACAAATACAGAAACTTACACAAGGCATGGAGGAGACGAGGCAAAGTTTAAAAGCAATTGAGCGAGCCATAGCATCCATGACAAAAACTACTAACATGTCATCACAAGAAGTAAGGTGTGAGTGCTTGTCACAAAGTGATGCCAAGACATTAGAGGGGAAGGAGCAAGATTCAACATAGGAAAACAGCAATCAAGATAAAAGTTACGTACCTTCAAAACCAACAGAATTGACAACCAAAACGAGTTTGCAACCATCCTCAGCTTTCACTCAATACAATTTTCAAAGTCAAAATGTGATACATCGCACACATTCAAGCTAAAGAAGGGACAACCAGCAAGTCCATAAGGCTACATTTGCTACAACAGAACCACAAAAGGCAGAAACACAAGTTCATAATGACGGTATTTACAAAGAAATTGAAGCATTGCGACAACATCTAGCAAAAATAGAAGTGAGCAGGCAGAGCTAGCTAAATACGATGGAACTCAAGACCCAGTGGAGCACGTGCAAGGATATAGAATGGCAATGACAGTATATGGAGCCTCGAATGCTCTATTATGCAAACAATTTCCAGCAACTTTCAGGAAAGCTACGCAAACTTGAGCTCCTCAAAAGACCAACCATCATCTCCTAACAGTCAAACAAAAGACAAGAGAGTCACTAAGAGCCTACATAGCAAGATTCCATAATGAAGCAGTGTAAGAACAAATTAACAACTTACCAGATAAGTTTCATATCTTTTTACAATATTTAAATAATTATTTTCATAAATTTATCATTTATGATCGTGAAAGCACTAACAATTTTCGCATGTCTCTAAAAAAATTAAGATAACAAAATTTATATAGCTTGTTTCTACTCTGAACTTGCGCAAGAGAAAATCTTAAGATGATATCATACGCAGGCAATCTACTACAAAAGAGTACATGTTTGCAAGACTTTCAGACTTATAGTCATATTGCACCAAATAAACAAACATGCGCTTGCAAGAGATGTATAAGCAAACATCTGCCACATGCAAGAATGCACTGGATACCAAAATCTAGTAACTCAATTATGATGTGACTCAAATACCTACGCAGCATTATCATGATTGGATAGATAAAAAAGCAAGCACTCTATTAAAAGACGGAGAATACAACTACCTCCATATTTGAAGAAGCTTTGTTATAATCACATTCAACCACATCAAATGATGAATCAAATTCTGCATTTGCAAGGCAAGATAGACATCTCAAAATTCTAAATGCACAAATCTTAAAAGAACGCTGCGATCCCAGCTAAGTATATTTACTTTTTAATTTTCTAATTTTCAACCTTAATAATCATGCAAGTTATTCTGTTTTTAAGAAAACTAACTTTTATCTTGAGAAACTTTTGGGAGAAGGCCATATATGCCAAAAAGCTCCAACCAGAGGAATTCAATTACAAGATGGACAGGTCTAACAAGAGTTATGAGACAGAAAGTCACAAAGCAAAATCCAATGCAAGAAAAAGGCTGCGAGCAAGTTGGATGTACATAAATATCCAAGCAAAAGTTACGCAAGCGAAGAAGCTATGAGCAAGTTTGGGTGTATATAAATACCCAAGCAAAAGTTACACAGACAAGCAAAAAGCTGCGAGCAAGTTTGGATGTACATAAATATCCAAGCAAAAGTTACGCAAGCGAAGAAGCTGTGAGCAAGTTTGGGTGTACATAAATACCCAAGCAGAAGTTACATAGACAAGCAAAAAGTTGCGAGCAAGTTTGGGTGTACATAAAATACCCAAGCAAAAGATACATAGGCAAACGAAAGCTATAAGTAAGTTTGGGTGTACATAAACACCCAAGCAAAAGGCGGCGAGCAAGCTTTGGATGTACATAAATACCCTGATAAAAGCTATGCAAGATGCGCTACAAAGGTTAATGCAAATTTCAGACCAAAACTCAAGTTAGAAACAGAGCTTTTTAAAGCAAAATCTTTGAAGCTAGCTCATTCAATTGTTGATAAGCAGAATTGGACAACTTAAGACAAAAGCAACAAAAGATATAAGTACTTTCTTCTTTTTTAATAAATCATAGCATTCTTAAACTGACAACACAAGTTTATCATACCTTTGCTCTTCCCTCGTATCTAAATAAGATCAACCTTAGCATGCAAGCAGCGGGAATCCAAAGTACCAATGAATTGCGAAAAACAGATGGATAATGAGAACCAGCATCATAAACTTGAGCAAATTTAAAGAACAGAATAAAAGCAGTACAACCCAAATATTTTTTCAAAAATAAATGTTCTTATATGCAGGTTCAACAAGAGGTCTGAAAAACTGAGCATTTAGAGAATAAGGGGTACCTTGAGAACCTCCGCATTCACAAAACTACTCCAACTGTGAATAGCTATAACAGAATCCTCTGCATCCTCAAAAGCTGCCCAATCCTTACTCTACTTCAACCAGAGATCTACCCAAAGGAACATGCATTGAACCTTAATCATAAACTTTCTTCAACTTTGGATCAGCTTAAACCTACACAGCAACATCCATGCTCTCAAACTCAGAGATGCCATCAAGCACAATCAACTTAGCAAGGGACTACATCTCTCTCACATTCTTGGCAACAAGCTTTCTCAGCTCCCTCTGAACAACTCCGGCTAGAAACCCTTGAGCTGGGCCTTGTGAGGATTTTGATCCAATATACTCTTCTTTAATGACCTTCAACTCCTTCTCATGATCTCGATCTGCGAATTTCTCCAACCACGCACACTCACGCTCCTTGGCTTCCTCCTCATGCTGGCAATTGTAGCATCCCAAGCAGTGTTCCCTGTCTCGCCTCCTTTCACAATCTCGGCAGTTGGAATTGGGGGAGCGTTTGGAGGAACCGAAGATAGAAGGATTGAGGTGATGAAGATGGTGTTGTTCTTGGATGCAGCGCTCCTGAAGGTGTTGGAGGACCAACTGCTCTCTCTTTAGTTAAGAAGACAGGCTTGGGAGAAAAAATTGTAGGAACCTCCATTGGAAAAGGAAGGGTCATGGGATTCCCCTCTACATGACATAAAGCATCCTTCACCACAAACCAGCCAGGAAAATGGAAAACGTCAAAACACTCGGATTCGAAAGAAGAAAGGCTCACTTTTGAACCAACAAAGGCAAGAACAGAAAAAACTAGCAGCAACAGAAAGAGAAATTGTCATGGCCTTGACAGTAGTAGGAGAAATTTCTAAGATCACCTCTGACAATGGGATCCACCCCCATCTCGACAATATCCCGAGCAACTGGAGCCATAACAGTAGATTTTGAAGGATTCCCCTCCATCAAAACAAAAAAATGGTGAAGAAGAAGAAAGAAAACGCAAGAACCAATGGAAGCAAAGATCAAAACAAAACCAGAAGCAGGGATCGGAACAGAGTTGAAAGCAGAAGGATTAATGGCCATCACAAGACAACCGGCCTAATCAAATTACAAGATCAAAGGAGTCTTTCTCAAAAGGAAGAAAACGAAAAAGCAAAAAGAAAGAAAACAAAAAGAAATCAAAAAGAAGTTAAACAAAAAAGAAAAAGAAGAATCGGGAAACCCAAGAAAGCCCCATTTGAAAGCCAAAAGGATAAATTGCATAAAATCCCAAGGAAATAGGGGTTTGAACCAAAAGGACCTGTCGTACCAAAAAACCATACAAAGGGGGCCACATGCATAAAAAAAAGCTGCCAAGAAGAAGAAAATATGAGAAATACAGCTGGGGAGATATGAAAAAATCAAGCGAGGACCTGAACAAATCAGCATAAATCTGCAGAACAATTAATTTCAAAAAATTTCTAATGAGGAAACTGCACTAGAATCATGAAGGAAAAACCTGGGCTGCACTCTTTTTTCCTTAAACTAGATTTTTTATCCCACAGGGTTTTTTCTAGTTAAGGTTTTTAACGAGATAGCCACAATTGAAAAAGTGAGAACCTGCGCAGAATTCAAAACCAAGATCAACAGAGCAATAAGAAAGACAGACACCCGTTGAAAGTTTTCACTATCCTCAAACTTCTTCATTGGGGGGCAAATGTTATACCCTAAAACAAGTCCTATGATAATTAGGACACATGGAGGCATTCTAGAGATAGTCCTATCAAAAGTAGAATAGAATAAATCCCACTAGAATAAAAATATCCCAAACACCAATCAAATAAAACTGTGTTCCTAGAATAACTATATTTAAGCATCCTATAAATACCCCTAGGATCAACCTAAGGAGGTGGACTATTTATCATCATCATTCTCTCTTCATTGTAAACTCTCTCTATCAACAAAGATCTTGGTTCTCTACCACCTTTTCTATTTTTTACTGTTAACAATTATAATTAATAATATTTTATATAAACTTACATTTTTGTACATTTAACTCTCAGATGACACACCTAATAAAACACATTTGATAATTCATCACACAGGAGGCCCTTGCACCCATAGCAATAAAATTTTTTTGGCTTATCAAAAAAAAAAAAATGAAAATCATTACACAAGAGGTGCCAAGACCCTTGGATAAGTGTCAACACCTAGTGCCCTTAAGGCAAATCTCACATGAGAGGTATTGGGTATACAAGTGCATGCCACTATCCTAATGAGGTATTTTTAAACTGCGAGGCCCATTAAAGCAGAGATTATCACTAGTGGTGTTTGGGTTTCAACATGGATTAAATAGAAGTTTTTAATAGGGCATAGTTCTCATTTAATCGTTAAATTATTTTTGCCTTTTAAGTTTTACTAATTTTTTAGTTGTTAATTGATTCTACAACCACTGCTAAATTGTCACATTGAAACTACTAATTTCCCCAAAGCTTGTATTCGTTATCATAAACTTAGTGGTAGTAGGAGTTTTATGTGTGGACAAAAGAAGTGTTTTTTAGGATTGGTTAGAGAGATTATTATGGGTAACAATTGAAGTCTCGGTGGAATTTGGGGTTTTAGCATTCCTAGCAATGGGTAACTTGTATTCACACCTACCCTATAAATATGTAGCATTAGTTCCCTCTCCTCATTTTTCAAGAGAGTCAAGAGATAGAAATTTTTGAATTGACCTCTCCTTTGTCAACATCAATACAATGGAGGTGTTGCCATTCTCTTTGGATACAACAAAAACACACAAAAGTAATGTTAGAGTCTCTCGGTGGCTATGTGGTACTCTCAACTTCATTTTGGTTTTATTTTCATTACTTGATTGCGTATTGTGGTTTCACAAGAGTTCCCCATTCTCCATATCGGAATACTTTGTCATTCTCATTGATGCAAAGCATTTTATATGCTTTAATTTATTATATTAGCCTTGATTTTATTATTATTTGCAAAGATAGCATATGATTTTTAATAGATTTTACATGGTTTGCATTCTTTGTGTAGAAAAAGACTTGATGCATAATAATAGGAGTTTTTGGGATTGATTGAATATTTTTTAAAAGTTAAGGGACTGAATTGTGAGAAGAAATGTTCCCTTTTGGGACCTAAGTGAATGAATCTTAAGTTATGGGATCAAAATGCTCATTTTATAAAAGATAGAGAACCAAATTTACTATTTTACCCTCTAAGAAATTGCAAAATGCTAGAAACTCAACATGGGTATGGTGTCAACACATACTTTGTAGTGTTAGTACCATGCGTTAAGCTTTTGCTAAAAGGATTTGCGTGAAATAACCAGAATTGTCAACACCTAGACATTAGTGTGAACACTAAAAGCACGTCCAGCATTAGTAATTTCCTTTTTTGTCTTGAGTTTTTTTTTTTTTTTCCAAATAGTTTCCTAAAGTCTATAAATACTCATCCTGAAACTAGATTTATGACTTTTGGGAATGACCAAGAAAAGAGACGGTTAAGAGGAACTCAATATCAAATAAAGATTAAAACTTGAGATTTTATATTATTAAACTAGTTTTATTTGTTCTTAAATTTATTTTATAATATCAAATACTTTTGTATTCATCATGAGGTCTTTAATTTTCTTTTTGTTTTTAATTATGAAATAATTTAGTCATTTAAAGTTATGATATGATTTGATCAATTTAATATAGAATTTCATATTTTTATACTTTCAAAATTTATTATTTCATATAGAGTATATATTATTGTTTTAATACTTTTAATAATTGACCACTATTAAAATTAATTTGGAGAGCATAATTGAGATTAAGAGGAAATTTTATGTAATGGTTTTTAGTAATATATACTATGAATTAAACAAAAGCCAATGATAGAACAACATAATTCATGCACTATTAGTAATAAGTAGATGTGATTTTCTACATAAATTAATGGATTTTATAGAATATAATACATCTTTATTTATTTAAATTCACATAGAAATATGATAGATTAATAGGTAAAGATAGGTTTAATATAATTTAAAAAAGTATATTGAATATGGTAAAAAATTTCACCATCACACGAGTAATAAAAACTTTGAAAATATATTAATTTAAATTCTATATTAATTAAATATGGTGATATTGAATGTCTTAGAATTTTGCCTTAGAATTTCAACTTATCATGTCACTTAGAATCAATTTAGTTTTTTATTTTTTAAATAAGTTTAGTTAATTAGTTCATTTAAATCATTTAATTTTAATTGTTCAAATAAAATTAAAATTAATTAATTTTAATACTTAATTAGTTTATAATTTTTGTGAGACAATTCTTAATTTTCATCATTACAGTACTTAAACTAACTAATACACTTATTAGAGTAAAATTAGCTCACTACTCATGTTTATGTCTCTTGGCTGTTTAGTTCTCTTTCACATTTTCTACCTCGCGATTGTATGTCATTACTTGCCCAGCAAATCAGTAGGACTTTACACAAAACATGGGTTGGAGCTGTTTGCCCTCTCTTATGCCGTAATATATTGCAATGGTTTTGGGGAATTTCATGGGCCAATCTCAAAATCATTTTGGGATTTGTTTTGGAATTCCATACCTGCTATATATCAACTCCAATGCAATTCAGCTGATCTTGGATATTTTGATTTGTTCTTGGATCTGGATATGCAAGTCGCAGTTTATGCATGTGATGACAAGTATGCCTTTGTTAATACAGTCGTTTCATGCCTGTTGCTTATCTATTTTAGATTTCGTCTCTATTCATGCCACCATGAGGCCTCTGATTTGCTCGTACGCATCATTCATAAGTTGGAAAGAGAGAGAAAGCATGTTGATTTTCTTTTCTTTTTCTCCTTTCTTTAATGAGATGAATTATTATAAAAAGATTGGGAACAATTGAAAGAGAACGAATTTAAGAATTATATTAGTTTTTTTTCTTGAACGTGTACTTTGACTTACTTGTGTTCAGTTCAAGTTAATTAATCACTTCATCTTGAAATTTAGTCCATGACCATCATGCATATAAGTAGTAGATGATGCTCTCCTTCCTACATTTATGTTCAAGAGGTTGTGTTCAATCCACTTTTTATTCTTGATTCTTTCACATTCCAATTCTAAATTGAACAAAATCACTAACTTAATTAACTGTAAAATAAAATTGTCTTCATCAAATTCTGTTTAGACTACAAAAAATGTAGAGCAGCTAAAACCTTGTACATGATAAATATTTTGGTTGAATCAATCTCTTTGGATAAACCTGAAAAGTTGCCATTTGTACTTTGTATATGTTCTTCTCTTTTATCACTTTGTCATTGTGTGACTGTTCTTCTTTCTGTCACTATTATTCAAGGAGATTCTGTTTTACCTTTTCTTGGTTTTTTTTTTTTCCTTGAAAAATAATGAACGGCATTTCTCTTGCAACAAAAGCATGAGATTTTTGAGATAAAAAGAACCTCATCAGGGTGAATTACAAGGAAATCAATAAAAGCAACGTGCACTAAGTGTTTTGTTCAAATGCTTGAGTGAGTTTTTTTATTGCCTCATCTAAGAATTTATGTTTTATAATTTTAAATAGTTAAACCGTAAAACAATTTACTCTTATATAAAATATAAAATTTAAAAAAATTATGCAAATTTCTGACCTTACTTTAAACGTACCATGCTAATCAATGACCATCTTCTATTCTTCAATTTGCCTTTCAACTTTCAAACCTGTTCCCTAATTCCAAGATCGAAATGGTGGATGCTAGCTACAGTTTCCTCAGTCCTAGACCTGCTAGAAACAACCATCATCGACGGGAAATGAAGAGGCGGAGCTGCTAGTTGGTGTTGAGGATCAAGTGGAAAAGCTTAATAAAAGAAATCTCCTTCTCATTCGAATCGCGCTCACCAATGCTGAGAGAGGAAAACAATAAATGATCTGGTCAAGGAATGGCTGGATAAGCTGAAAGAAGCTGCCTAAGACATAGAGGATGCATTAGATGAGTAGGGAGAGCTGCATTAAGGTGGAAAAAAGCTTTGCAGGGGTAGGGAGAGAAGGAAAAGTAGAGAAAGAAGGGGAAAGCCGAGATTGAATCTCTAAGTTTTAATTCTTAATTTCCAGGTCTATTTTCTTCTTTTAATTGGTTGATTGTCGTTCGAAATTGAGTCTAGTTATATTTAGCAATTAATGGAATTACAATCAGAGGAGGTTTGACTTTATATTTTTGTGAATCATCTAGATTTTCTTGCTACAATGGCAATGAAAAAACACAGGGATTCCCATATTCAATTTCCATTAAAGTAAAATATTTTGCACGGCAAACAGCATATTAAAAGCACAATCTAAATTATAAAACATGAATCCTTTAACGTTATTAAGAACTTTTACATTGAAACAAAAAAAAATATCTTATAATTCTTCTAAATTGACCTGGGTCAAAGCCTTCAAGCCAACTCCCCTAGTAAACACTTAATACACTGCCCGTACCAATTGAAATGATCCAAGCTAAAACTCATTACTGTGCTTACTACTGTCCTAACAACTTTTCAAATTAAGGTTCATGGTATCTTAAAAACACAAGCTTAAATTATTAGTAATGGTTGATTTTCACATTTAATTATATATCAAATTCATTCACAATTCTTCCATTAATGTGGGATTCAAGGTCTTACATTTTCATGCAAATCAATACAAAAAAAAAAAAATTGCAACCGGGTAAGCTCTATATTAGAGTATATCAGGCAATTTGCATTAATATTCAATACAAGTAATGCAAAAATTTTTGCTGTCAAGGCATTTTAAAGAAAAAAGAAGATGCCCAAGATTTTGGGCGGTAAGAAGACACTCCTAACTCTTTCTTGGAGGCTGGCTGTGGTCTCTCGATGCCAGAACAAAGCTAAAACTGATTACAGCAATTATTATATTGGGTGTTGGGAGAAAAAACTATTGTGCTTCATACATCTCTTGCTCTATACCCTAATTTCCATTTCCAGAC